TTGGCGCTGCCCAATCCAGAGTGAAGGAGCGAACAGTGGTGCGAGTGCAAAGGAGGGAGTCGCCCTTGCGGCGCCAATCTCCGAGCATCTTCCCAGACAGACAACTAGGTACCAGCCTGGGGGATCGGCTGCTGGCAGTGGAAAACAAGGGCCGTCGGCGCTGAAGGCTGGACCACTCAGCGCGCGGCCAACGAACACCACCTCAGAGTTGTGGGGCTGGCGGCGACCGACGGACGAGTTGGCACCGACGTAAAAAGGCTCGGGAGGTGCGCAAAGAAACGCGGGCAGAGGCATCACTCTGGCAAGGCAACCCGTCACAGTCACCCACACTTCGGAGGACACCGCCGACCTTCCGAGTGTCACAGTGTCGAGCAGCTGCGAAAAGGCCCCTGCGGCCCACATAGTGCGCCTTGTGGACTGGTCGGGATACGCGAAGCGACAAGAAGTTCTGGGCGATGTGCACCTCTTTGCTTCTCGCGTTTGCTCCCTGTCTGCTTCCCACTGTGATGCTTCTTCCCCATCCAGTCTTGCATCACGCTCGCGCTGCATTGCTGTCATTTTCAAAGCAAGCCTTTCGAATATTCGGCGCCGCGGCGCCACCGCCCCGCTCCTAGAGGGATCGCGCCCTGGCACGTGTGGGAGGGTCCGCCCGTCAGCCCGTCCTCCTCTCTCATCGCCCATCACCTCTTCTCCTTTCTGATCCTGTTTCTCTTCAAAGTACCTCGTGCCGACATCGGACATCGGCGTGCATCATGCACCGCGTTAGTGCCGCAGGGCGGGGCCGAAGCGCCAAACAATTGAAAGCATAAGTGAACACTTACAACCGTAGTGATACAATGCAACCCTCATCGCAAGGTGAGAAATTGTAGCAAAATTCTAGACGCTTCGCGTATCCCCACCAGCCCATCCAGAAACGATGTCCAGGCGAGTTGAGGTGATCAGGGAAGTGCGGCAGCAAAGAGGGGGACGATCGAACCGTGCAAAGGAGTGAGGAGGAGAAGGAGGAGGTGGATGGATGGATGGATGAGGGAGTGGGAAGAAGGAGGATGAATAGGATGAGGAGGAGGCAGAGAAGGAGGAGGAGGAGGAGGAGGAGGAGGAGGAGGAGGAGGAGGAGCAGGAGGAGGAGGAGGAGGAGGGCAAACACAAGGGTCAAAGGTCTCTTGGATGCCCCTGGGAGCCTCTTGGGGTATCTCTTGGGCGATTCTTGGTGGCCTCTTGGGACGTCTTGGGGGTCTCTTGGCGATCCCGGGGGGGCTCTTCGGGGTCTTGGGTGCCTCGGGGGGGCCTCTTGGGGGCCTCTTGGGGCCATCTTGGGGCCATCTTGGGACCTCTTGGGGCCTCCTGGGCGCTTCTTGGGGCCATCTTGGAGGAGATCGATCAAACAAGAGGGGCGTATTAATTAGCGCACCCCCACCAGGAGGCCAACATGGGGCCACAACCCTAGTACAACCAATGATTTTGGCTTCCTCGCCGAGGCCGTTTTGGCATTCTCGCCGAGGCCTCTTGGAGCATCTTGGGTGCCTCTGGGGGGTCTCGTGGGGCCTCTTGGGGGTCTTTTGGGGGCCTCCTGGGGGCCTCTTGGGGGCATGTTGGGGCCATCCTGGGACCTCTTGGGACCTCCTTGGCGCTTCTTGGGGCCATTTTGAAGGAGATCGATCAAACAAGAGGGGAGCATTACTTACGCTACCGAAGAACCCCACATACTTATATTATGGCTGGAGTGATGATAGCTGAAGTGAAGCATGTGAGAATGATGTTGGTGGCCGTTGCCCCGCCGATACCGTTGGTGACGCCACTCAAGAGGAGAGGTGGAAGAGGAGAAGCGCCGCGCCGACCACATTTTGCGAGTCCGAAACAGATAACGACCGTACCCCCAAGACACCCCCTTGTGGCGGTGAGAAAATGCCACGCCTGCCACGCTGTGCGAAGCCGAAACGGGTAGCGACCGCACCCCTGGCGCACCCCCTGTGGCATCGAAAAGGTACCGCGCCTGCCACGCCTTGCGAACCCGAAACGGATAGCGACCGCACCCCCAGCGCACCCCCTTGTAGCGTCGAAGAACTGTCACGCCTGCCACGCTTTGCGAGCCCGAAACGGATAGCGACCGCACCCCCCAGCGCACTCCCTTCGGCGTCGAGAAGTTGCCACGCCTGCCGCGCTTTGCGAGCCTGGAACGGATAGCAACCGCACCCCCAGCGCACCCCCTGTGGCGTCGAAGAAATACCACGCCTGCCAACGAGTTGCGAACCCGAAGCGGATAGCGATCGTACCCCCAGCGCACCCCCTGTGGCGTCGAGGAAATTTCAGGCCTGCCACGCTTTGCGTTGCCTAAACGGGTGGCGACCGCACCCCCAACGCACCCCCTGTGGCGCCCAGAAAGTGCCAAGCCTGCCACACGTTGCGAGCCCGAAACGGATGTCGACCGCACCCCCAGCGCACCCCCTTTGGCGTCCAGAAAATGCCACGCCTGCCAAGCTTTGCGGCAGTGCCGTGGACTGAGAGACCACCCCCTGCGCACCCCCTTGTGGTGTCCAGAAAATACCACGCCTGCTAGGCTTTGCGTCGGTGCCGTGCATTGCGGCCGCGCTGAGAGACCACCCCCTGCGTCCCCCCCCCTATGGTGTCCAGAAGGTGCCGCGCCTGCTAGGCTTTGCGACAGTGTCGTGGATAGTGGCCGCGCTGAGAGACCACTTCCTGCGCACCCCTTATGGTGTCCAGAAAATGCCACGCCTGCTAGGCTTTGCGACAATGTCGTGGATAGCGGCCGCGATGAGAGACCACCCCTGCGCACCCTCTGTGGAGTCCAGAAAGTGCCGCGCCTGCTAGGCTTTGCGACAATGTCGTCGATAGCGGCCGCGCTGAGAGACCACCCCCTGCGCACCCTCTGTGGTGTCCAGAAAGTGCCACGCCTGCTAGGCTTTGCGGCAATGTCGTCGATAGCGGCCGCGCTGAGAGACCACTCCCTGCGCACCCCCTATGGTGTCCAGAAAGTGCCACGCCTGCTAGGCTTTGCGGCAGTGTCGTGAACAGCGGCCGCGCTGAGAGACCACCCCCTGCGCACCCCCTACGGTGTCCAGAAAATGCCACGCCTGCTAGGCTTTGCGACAGTGTCGTGAATAGCGGCCGCGCTGAGAGACCACCCCCTGCGCAACCCCTATGGTGTCCAGAAAGTGCCACGCCTGCTAGGCTTTGTGACAGTGTCGTGGATAGCGGCCGCGCTGAGAGACCACCCCCTGCGCACCCCCTATGGTGTCCAGAAAGTGCCGCGCCTGCTAGGCTTTGCGACAGTGTCGTCGATAGCGGCCGCGCTGAGAGACCACCCCCTGCGCACCCCCTATGGTGTCCAGAAAGTGCCACGCCTGCTAGGCTTTGCGGCAGTGTCGTGGATAGCGGCCGCGCTGAGAGACCACTTGCTGCGCACCCCCTATGGTGTCCATAGGTGCTGTGCTGTGCTATGCTGTGTAGTGCTGAGGTGTGCTGTGCTGAGGTACTGTGCTGTGCTGTGCAATGCTGTGCTGAGATGAGCTGTGCTGTGTACGTGCTGTGTGTCAATGTGCTGTGTGCTGTTCTGTGCTGAGCTGTGCTGAGCTGTGCTGTGCTCTGCTGCACTGTGGTGCGCTTGCTGTGCTGTGCAGTGCTGTGCTGTGCTAAGCTAAACTGTGCTGAGGTGCTATGCGGTGCTGTGCTGAGCTGTGCTGAGCTGTGCTGCGCTTTGCTGCGCTGTGCTGCGCTGTGATGTGCTGTGTGAAAGGAGAGGGAGGAGGAAGGTGGGGTGTGAGGGCCGCGGGTGCGACGAGGCAGGGAAGAAAACCAGAACCCCACTAAGCATGTGGGGAATTAGCGTCCCCCCCAGGAGGCCAAACTGGGGCCAAAACCTTTGTAACACCAGTGATTTTTGCTTCCTCGCCGAGGCCGTTTTGGCATTCTCGCCGAAGCCTCTTGGAGCATCTTGGGTGCCACTGGGGGGTCTCTTGGGGCCTCTTGGGGGCCTCCTGGGGGCCTCTTGGGGGCCTCTTGAGGTCATCTTGGGGCCATCTTGGGACCTCTTGGGGCCTCTTGGGCGCTGCTTGGGGCCATCTTGGAGGAGATCTATCAAAGAAGTGCGGAGCATAAATTAGCCTTGCCCCCCCCCCCCCGAGGCCAAAATGGGGCCCAAACCTTGGTAAAATCAATGATTTTGGCATCCTCGCCGAGGCCGTTTTGGGTGCCCTGACACCTCGCGGCCCCCCCCCTCCAGGTCCAGGGGAGGGGGTAGGGGGAGGGGTAAACCCCTCCCCGAAGGGGAAGGAGGAGGGATGGAAGAGGAAACGTCCAGAGAGCTGGTGGGATTTCATGCAGACGGCACTCGCAAGTCTCTGTGCGAGCCAGATTCCTGGATGCTCAGTTTGCTGGTCCTGCGTTTGCCCTCTTCCGATGTCGTGAACTCGTTGACAAGCACCACCGAGAGGTCAGAGAGTTCGGAGCCCGTCCCATGGGCGTCACCTGAACCCTCTGGCGGCGTCAATCTGCCGTCGTGCTCGTTTGCAGCAAAGTCGGCGCTGCTGTCCCCAGCCCAAGCCTCGAGCTCTCTTTGGGCTGCATGTAGCCTTCGCGCGGCCACGCGCACGAGGAGAATGGTGCAAAAGATGGCAATCACAATGGACGAGACTGTCAGAGCCGTGTCAATTGGATCCCCACTGCCATCACCAGTAATCAGTACGGCAACATTGTCCACCGTGGTGGACAGATAAATGGGTGTCAGTAACTTGATTCCACTCAGGGTCATCGGAACGGAGAACTGCCACCAAGTCAAAGTCTGTGCTTTTGCACCAAGAATATACGACAGGATGGCCCACGGTGCGGGGGAGAGACCGATCAAAAAGATCATTCGAAACGGCTGCTCCTCCACTGCTTCAACACTGGCCAGGGCCATTACACAGGCAATTCTCAGGCGTCCTCCGCATGGCGCCCTGCTGCAGCAACCATTGGAATCGCACGAGCACATGGGGCACCTCCCATCAGGACCAAACCAGTGCTGCCACACCCACCGGCTGCCCCAAAAAGCCAACAGGGTACCACAGCCGTGTCCTGAAATCCACCGACCCCCGCTCGCAGGTGGTGAGAAGGCGCATGAAATGATTGGCTGTTCCCCTCCTCCTTCCTTCCTCCCCTGGACCCCAAAATTGCGATCGAGAGGGGGGGCCCGGGGGTGGGGGACGGATCCCGCGGGGGCAAGCGGGGGGTGGGCCTGGGGGGGAGTACGATCTCGTCAACGCACCCGGGGGGCTCTCCGAACCCTCCAAGGAGCCCCAAGACGACCCAACGAGCGCCGAAATCCAAGAGAGCGTCGAGACGGCCCAGGGTAACCACGCGATTGTCCATGGTGGCTTCAAGGCGGCCTCCGAGGGCCCCAAGACGGCCCAAGAGTGCTCCCAGAGGGCCGCCGAGAGGGCATCAAAAGGCAACAATCCTCTCATTCCAGAGGAACGCGTACATTTTCGAACATATACGCCTTTTTCGTCTTGACGGCGTCCACTACGGCCCCAGGGCCCCCCAAGCTCGTCCCAAGACGGCCCACAAGGCCCTCAAGACAGCCCCAAAGCGCCCCAAGAAGGCCCAAGAGGGCCCCGAAACGGCTCCTATGGGGGCCCCTAAGATAGCCCAGGAGAGCACCAAGAGGGGCCCAAGAAAGGCAATAGGAACTGATATCTCGAGTCTTTCCTGCAGTGATGGCCTCAAGCGCCGCACAGTAACCCCCATGGCGCACCCAAGAGGCCCCCAGAGCCAACCAGATGCCCTTAAGAGCTCTCCAAGAGGCCCCTGAGAGGCATTCCTGGAAACCCTCATATGCACCCCCGAGGCTCCTGAACCACAGGCCAGGCACGATGGCACGACTCTTGACGAATTCACTGTTATGGGGGTAGGCGGCATGGCGTAGGCCTCTTGCATCAAGATGGCGAAACCAGGCCAACCGTATATGTAACCGACGATCACATTCCAACCGCCTCTGCCTGGCACAGGAATGGCAGAGAGACACAGGGTAATAATACAAACTGCAAGAATGACGACGACATTGTGTCTGTCGCTCCGCAATGTCTTGCCGAGGTCGAGCAGCAGCTCCAGAAAGTCTGGCGCCAGCGAGTACACTAGCAGAAACAGCCCACACAGGACAATCAAGACCACCATCATTTGCACCAATGCGCGAGTGCGATCCCGTCGCGCAAATCCTTCTCGGAGGTAGGCCTTGACCAGCGCAGTGGGCGGCAATCTCTTACAGGGCGCTTCCGCTGCCTGGTGACTGGCATCTGCTGTGGCGCCTTGACCAGAGCTGGTGTGGCTCCCAACCGTCGTGCCATCAGCACTGCCGCCGCCGTGGGGCTGCGCAGGGGCAGAAACACTGCAGCTGTAGCCGCCGATGACCTGCACTGGCACGGTCTCTCTCATGGCGGCAAGCTGGTCTGCTCTGCCCAGATTTCCTGACCATGATAGTTACAGAGCCGGATGGATGGCGACAGATTCGTGTAGCGGGGGGGAGGGGGAGGGGGGGCGAGGGGAGGTGGCCAAAGGAAAAGGAGGGCTGACAGGAACTGAAAATGGCGGGAGAGGGTGGGGGGGCAGAAAATGTAGTGAGAGGGAGAGGGGACGGCAAAGAACGAAGGAACCACGACGGAATGGCACTAAGAGCATGGCAGTGCTTCTCGAGGCCTCCCGAAGCCTGCCCGGGCAGAAATTCCCAAGGCCTACCAAGGCCCCACGATGGCGCCAACGCGCTCCCAGGAAGCCCGCACATGGCCCGACAAGGCCCGAACAGAGGGATGCCCGACCCATGGCCAGCATCTTCCCCAAAGCAGCCCTAGACGGCCCATAAAATCTACGTTGCCACCTCGGCTGCCCTCAAGCCCAAAAACCAGTCAAGGCGGGGAGGGGCGGAAGCAGACGCAGAGGGCGGAAGAACCACGCGCACCATGATCACCTCGACCAACGAGGCCCTCTTTAGGCTGGGAATGGTTTTCTCCTAACGCCGCCACATTGTCCAATGCCACATAGTCGCAAGAATTAAACTATGCGAACGATGGTTGCACATGTGAAAAGCTGGCCGAACATACCGCGCTTCGGATGTTCACACCCACTTCGCCTGCTAGACTGTAGAACGCTAGTGCAACATGTAGAACAGTATGTCTGTTCACTGCACTCCGCACTATTCCACGTGTTTGCACCCGCGACGTGTGAAACTTCCATTCACTGTCACACATAAACTGACACCTCACAGTGTGTCTTGGGAACGCATTTGGCCATAACGCTACGAATGTTTACGCCCACGTCGTGTGTGAATGAATGATTCATCCACTTCCGTCCAACAACGTGTCGCGGAGCGTCCGAAGCCCCCGACCACGATGACCACCACGACGACGACGACGAACATGTCGATGACGACGACAACGACGGCGACACCAAACCATGGCCAAACCAGGGCCAAACCAAGCAACTTGCGAGGATGTCTCAAGCGAAACCGCGCCCAAACTAGGGCAAACAAAACAAACTGGGAGGACGACTCAAGCGAAACCGCGCCGAAACTAAGCGAACACAAACAAACTTCGAGGACGTCTCATGCGAAACTGTGCCGAAATCAGGCGAAACCAAGGCAACATAAGCTAGGCAAATTGCGAGGACGTCTCGGGCGAAACCGCGCCCAAACTAGGCGATTCCACACACATTGCGAGAACGTCTCAAGCGAAACCAAGCCGACATCAGGCGAATCCCAAGGCGAAACCAATCAAATTTCGAGGATTTCTCGGGCGGCTTGCGCCGCCCAACCTGGCCAAACCAGGCGAAACCAGGGGCGACATCCACTCTCCATGACAAAATCCTGATTACAGAGGTGGATGCCCCCAGGAGACTCCCCCGCAAGCGCAAGTCCGTTCACAATTTTATGAGGGTGCGTTTGGACCACGTGTCCGCTTTGGCGGACGGGGTTGGGCGCGGAAGGCTTCATTTGTCTTTCGGTTGTTGTTGCGGCCTTGGTGTGGCGTTAGGAGAAATGTTGCCGAGCCTGACGCCGCCACATTGTCCAATGCCGCATAGTAGCAGGAACTCTGTGAGCGATGGTTGCACCATGTGTCGCACTGGCCGAACACAGTGCGCTTCGGATGTTCACACCCACTTCGCCTGCTAGACTGTAGCACAATTGTGCAGAATGGAAAACAATATGTGTGATCACTGCACTCCGTACTTTTCCACGTGTCTGTACCCGCGACGTGTGTGAAATTTCCATTCGCCGTCATACACAAATCATCAACTCCAAATGTGTTTTCGAAACGCCCGGGGGCCATAACGCTACGAATGTTTACGCCCACCACGTGTGTGAACGAATGATTCATTCACTTCCGTCCGCCATGTGACAAAACACAACGTGTCTCGGAGCGTCCAAGGCCCCCGACAACGACTCCCACCACCACGACGACAACGACGACACCAGCCAGGGCCAAATCAAGCAACTTGCGAGGATGTCTCAAGCGAAACCGCGCCCAAACTGGGGCAAACCAAACAAACTGGGAGGAAAACTCAAGCGAAACCGCGCCGACACCAGGCGAAACCATGTGCATTCCGTGGACGTCTCAAGCGAAGCTGTGCCGAAACTAAATGAAAACAAGGTGTAACCAAGCAAATTGCGAGGACGTCTCGGGCGAAACCGCGCCCAAACTAAGCGAAACCTAGCGAATTGCGAGGACGTCTCAAGCGAAACTGGGTCGAAGCCAGGCGAAACCATGGGCGAAAACAGTTAAGTTACGAGGAATTCTCAGGCGGCTTGCGCCGCCCAGCCGGGCGAAACCAGGCGAACCGGGGGCGAAACCAGGCAAATTGTGAGGACCTCCTGGGCAGAATCGCCGAAAACAGGCTCGATTCACTCTCCCCCCCAAAATATCCCGACTAAAGAGGTGGATGCCCCCAGGGGATCCCGCAGGCGAAGGACGCTTCGAATCTTATGGGAGGGTTTTTGGACCACGTGTCCGCTGAGGCGGACGGGGTTGGGCGCGGACGGTTTCATTCGTCTTGGGTTGGAAGAAATGTTTCCGAGCCTTTAGTAAGCGCACCTAGAGAAGGAATCGACCAGGACAGGGTTGTGTAGTAAGCAGTACACGCGCAGGGCCGTGTAGAAAACAACATTGAGAAGGCCGAACATTTTGGATCTACCTGCGTGCGTAAAAAGGTGGCGGGAACCGTGTCTGAACGCACCCCAGGCGGTGAGGGGTGCTTGGTCTGTCCAGAGGGAGGAATCAGTCTGACGCCCCGCCTTCGCCTAGGAGGCGGAGGCAGAAAAGGAGCAACGTGTCGTTGAGCGCATCTTTGTTCTGGCCTTCTCTGTTTACGTGTGCCTAGTGACTCTGACACGCCGATTTTGGCCTGGAGGCCAAACTGTTGGAAATTTGTGCTTTTTTACATGTGTGATATGGATGGGCGCGCGGCACCAAACTATATTTTACTCTCTCGCGCGGTGAGGCGCAGCGTAGCTCTCATGCCAAGGGCCCTGCATAATAACATGGAACCGAACGGGCAGCGGGAAATAGGGGTGAAACCAGCAACAACAATGGCTGGAAAGAGCCGGGGATCTCGGCCTCTACGGGACCTTTATGTGCCTGATCTGTCCCTCGGCCCCTCTTGCAAACCCTCGGGGGTGAGCTTGAAGCACGCTCCTCCTGGTCGCCGTTGGTGGCGTCCTGAGCGGTGACCATCTTAAGTCACTCGTGGCTATAATCAGATTGGCGGGTGCCGAGCGGGGCATCTCCGCTAGGGCGAATGGGTGCCGAGTGCATTGGCAAACGGCCTTGCCGTCGTGCAATCCGGCTGCCCCAAGGTATTTAACGGGTGCTGCTACACGCATTGGCAAAACATAATTTATGGCAGGCTGTTGGCGCTGGCTCGCGGCCAGTATTTTCTTAAACAAACAATCGGGTGTCGTCACTACCTGGGAAGGAACCAAAACTGTGCACAATAATTGAAGCTTCTTGGCTGGTGGTTGCCGGGCGCGGCAACTCCACTGTTGCAGTGCTGACTTACATAGTCGGCCGCCATGGGTGACGGTCCTTGTGTAAAAAAATAGCCTGACGAAGGACCGAACCGCATTCAGGTGTGAGTACCGCAATTGTGATTCACTTTTCCGGTGGTGATCCCTAGGAGGCAACGAACCGTGCTAGGGGTGTGTCGACATGAGTGGCGTGGTACACAACGCGAACGAAAACGATTGATCAGAGTACGTAGGGAGACTGGGCGCGGGTGAATCTGAGCGCGAGTGCGTCAGACTGTGAATGAATCTGCGTGCGAGCGAGCCTACGTGCATGACTGCGAGTATGACAAAGCATGGTGTGCTTGTATATGAACGCCAATAGTTTGAGAATGGCTGCCTCAGAATACTCGTGACGCTGGGCGTTACCGCCGCAAGGAGCTTCCCCGGGACTCCCCGACGACATCGCCCGCGCGCCGCGACGCCAATGTCGGCGCGCCCCCCCGCGAGGATCGCGCCCGCTTCCTCCCATTCTTTTGCTCCCTCTTTGCCCGCGCGCTCAAAAGTCCAAGGCTGCGGGCGCAGCACAGCGCGGAGTCCCCGCGACGCGCGCAGGTCGCCCCAGAGGGGTCCCAGCGACGCGCGCGGGTCGTCCGCTGCGCGGAGCAAAGAAAGCTAGCTGGCTGGCTGATAGCGGGCAAGGCTCTTGCCGCTGGGCAAAACGACGACGGGCGAGCGAGGCGCTGGGCAGAACGCAGCACGGAGTCCCCGCGACGCGCGCTGGTCGCCCCAGAGGGGTCCCAGCGACCTCCTCCTCCTCCTCTTCCGTTCCCCCGCAGCCCACTCCGTTCGTCCCCGTCAGAATTCCGACGGCCTCCGACGGAGGTGTACTGGGCGGGGGAGACGCATGCGGACTGCGCCACGGGGACCTTCGGTGGAGCTCCCTTTGGGGCCACGATGCGCTGTACTGGGTGGGGGAACCGCGTGCGGACTGCGGCAGGGGGACCTTCGGCGGAGCTCCCTATGGGGCCACGAAGCGCTGTACTGTGTAAAGGAAACGCATGCGGACTGCGCCACGGAGACCTTCGGTGGGGCTCCATATGGGGCCACGAAACGCTGTGCTGGGTGAGGGGGGCGCAGGCGGACTGCGCCACGGAGACCTTCGGTGGAGTTCCCTATGGGGCCACGAAGCGTGTGAGGGGTGTGCCGAAATGAATGGCGGGGACGCATGCGGACTGTGCCACTGGGACCTTCGGCGGAGGTCCCATAGGGCCACGAAACGTGTGAGGGGTGTGCCGAAATGAATGGCGGGGACGCATGCGGACTGTGCCACGGGGACCTTGGGCGGAGCTCCTATGGGGCCACGAGGCGTGTGAAGAGTGTGCCGAAATGAATGGCGGGGACGCGTGCGGATTGTGCCACTGGGACCTTCGGCGGAGCTCCT